GGAAACTATGAAATATGTGCTCTTAAACGTGTATACAATGTAACAATCATCCCAATGAAAGTATCGATGTTCTATGGTTTTCTTCATCATGAACGGTATATGTATAGATGCATAACCTATCTTTCTCCATCACCTTGAGACTTTGATGAACTAAGTTGGTACGTTCAATCTCCATGAACAGCGTATTTTAACAAATATCTTGTAATGTAGGGACCAAAATCAAAATAGTCATGTCGATGATTTATTTATCACTTTAGCTATATGTAAGACACCTGAATTTTTAATTTGGGTAAGTCAATTTTCTAACCATTGATTCAATTCTCAGGATTCATGTTGTTGTTTTTTTCTTGTGTGTGTGTGTGTGTTTAGGCTAATTTTTGACTTGCCCATATTTGGGGTAAGTTGGTTTTTTTTTTCTTAGCCTGAATTTTCGACTTGCCCCTGTTAAAGGTAAGTCAAATTTTTTTCAAAGGGCAATTTTGGATTTGCCACTATTTGGGGTAAGCCAATTTTCCTTTTTTGTATGCCTTTTTTTCTTCTACTTTTCTTTTATTTTAGTCGGTCTTTCTTTTTTTGCATGGGTATTTTGCATATTGGATGAGTGAAAATGTAAATACGCAAGGACTATAGAGTATTTCTGTAAATTACACTAGAGTGCAAAGATTGAACTATTATACATTTATTCACACCATATTTAAGAAGTGCAATTTCAATGCAAAGTTGTGTGCAAGTTTTTTTAATTTTCTTCTTCAAAGGGTAATACCAATGCCACTAGTTCATTCGTACTTAGGAAGCTTCATTATTTTTAATTTTATTTTATTATTTTTATTATTTAAGGGTAAAATACCGATGCCACTAACTTATTCCTTCTTAGTAAACTTCTTATTTGCGAAAACCCACTATTATATGCTTATTATTGCATATTATGGTGAACCGCAATTTTGGGTAATTTTCTTTGTAAATTATGTCATTATTTGTTTCATGGTTTCCATTTGATTCCTTCTAAAAGGGTAGTACCATTGCTACGAATTCATTCTTTCTTAGAAAACTTCATTATATTGATTTTGTTTTGATTTTTATTTTATTTTATTTCTTTAAGGATATAGTACTAATGTCACTAACTCATTCCTTCTTAGGAAAACTATTTTTTTAGAAACTTTACTATTATATGCTTATTCCGGAATATTATGGAAAGGAAAAAATGTGTAATTTTGTGCAAAAAGAAAATTCATTATTTGTTCCATTTTTCAATTTTTGTTCCTCTTAAAGAGTAATACCAATGCACCTAATTCATTCTTCGTTACAAAATTTAATTATTTTTAGTTTATTTTTAGTTTTTATTTCCTTTCTTCTTTCATGGTAATACCAATGTCTTTAATTCATTCTTCCATATAATACTTCATTTTTATGATTTTTTAGTTTTTCTTTCATTTTCTTTCTTCTTTAATGGTGGTACTGCTGCCACTAATTCATTCTTCCTAGTAAGATTCATGATTTTCATGTTTTAACTTTATTTCTTTTTCGTCATTAGGGTAATTCCAATGCCACTAATTAATTCCTTCTTAGAAAACTAGCTTTTTTACAAAAATTTCATGGTTATATGCTTAATCTTCATATTTTAAAATATTGCAATTTCCATGTAAATTGTGTCATTGTTGGATTATTTATTTTATTCATTTTAAGTGTAAAACCAATGCCCCCAATTCATTCCTTCATAGAAAGTAAGAATTCATTGGTACCAATGCCCCTATTTCATTTTTTGAAAAACTTTATATTTTGTTTTTGTTTTTATTTCTTTTTCTTTTTCTTAAAGGGTAGTACCAAGCCTCAAAATTTATTCTTCCTTATAAAACTTCATTATTTTCATTTTGTTTTAGTTTCTTTTTCATTTCCCTTCTCTCTAAGGGTAATACCTATGCCACTAATTCATTATTCCGTATAATACTTTATTTTTTACCTTTTATTCATTGTCTTTCTTCTTTATGGGAAATAACAATGCCACTAATTAATTCCTTCATAAATAACATGTTTTTTTTGCAAAGCTTTCAGTACTATATGCTTATTCTTGCCTATTTTGAAAAATCACAATTTGCATGCATATCGTGTGCAAATTGTTTCATTATTTGATTTATTGTTTTATACTTTCTTTATTTCAAGTATAATACCAACGCCCCAAATTCATTCATTCTTTGAATGCTATTACCATTATTTATTTATTTTCTTAGAAAAATTCATTATTTTGATTTATTTTGTTTTATTTAATTTTTATTCTTCTTAAAGTGTACTAACGCCACTAATTCATTTCTCCCTATAAAACTTCATTCTTTTCATTTTTTTAGTTTATGTTTCATTTTCTTTCTTCTTTCAGGGTAATACCAACGCATGTAATTAATTCTTACTTATAATACTTTATTTTTTATTTTTTTATTTTTTTACATTTTCTTTCTACTTTAAGGATTCTACCTATGCCAATAATTCATTCTTCCTTGCAAAATTTCATTATTTTGATTTTTTTTTCTTAGCTTTTATTTCATTTTCTTTCTTCTTTAAGGGTAATAACAATGTCACTAATTCATTCATTTTTAGAAAATTTATTTTGTTGGTGAAACTTTCAGTATTATGTGCTTATTCTTGCATATTTTTTAAAAGGCGCAATTTATGTATAAATTGTTTATACTTTATTTCTTTTTAAGGGTAATACCAATGGAGCTAATTCATTCATTTTTAGAAAACTACTAGTTCATTGGTATTTCCAGTAATACTTTAATTTTAATGGTAATTTTCAATATTCATTTTTATTTTTATTTTAATGGTAATTGCCATGTTCTAGCTCCACCACGCACAGGCTGTCCTCACACTGTGAATCTACTTGGGTGCTCCGCCAAAAACGAGACCGGCGCCGCGGCTGGGCCCACGGATGCTGCACACGTCACATCACACTCTGCTGCACCCGCACGGAAAAGAGCACCCACACGCCGGCATCCACACCACACTCTTGCATGCAAAAAAAAAAGTTGACTGACCCAAATTACATATTCAGGCGGCTACTGTTAGTTAGTGCCTTTATTTATTTTTATGCAAAATGCTCATACCGCAGCATAGTGTACAGTTACGATTTATTTTTCCCTGTTTAGATTTGAAACCTCACAATAGGTAACAAAGAAATGAGAAGTGGGACCTCACAAAAGTCTCAAGGCTTGATGTGTGACAATGTTGGCGTCGGCCTTGGCCCAGGTGAAGGCTACTCTCACACTCACTGCCTTTTTACGATGTGTACATGAATTCCATCGATGCAGCAGCATATCGGCTACTTGTTGATACAAAAAGGAGAAGGGAAGACTGATTAGAGAATCGTGGAGTAACTCAGATACAGCGGCGGCTGATCAGGAGCAATGGACTAATTTGTGTAAAACTAGAGACCCAGGAAATGTGAAAAACTTTGCATGGAGAGTGGCAAAAAACTCGATCCCTACAGGAGAAACTTTGAGGATTCATCACATACCAGAGGAGGGTGAGTGTTCCATGTGCAGTGCCGCAGCAGACTCATGGCGTCACGCGCTCATTGAGTGTCGTATGTCAACATGTGTCTGGGCCCTCATGAATGATAATGTGGTGAGTCGAACACGTGATTGCTTGTGGAACCGATGATGCAAAGTTATGGTTAAGCACTATGCAGGATACCTTGAACGAGAAGGATTTCATCATGGTTTCTTGTAACGCTTTGGTCGATTCGGTGGGCGAGAAGGAAAGCGGAGCACAAAGAGATTTACCAGAGTCCACTATCTACTTACTCTGTCATTCAGAAGTACTCCCTCCGTTCCGAATTACTTGTCTTGGATTTGTCTAGATACGGATGTATCTAGATTCATTTCAGTGCTAGATACATCCGTATCTAAACAAATCTAAGACAAGTAATTCGAAACGGAGGGAGTACTTGGCAGATCTTGAGATGATACCAAGTAAGGAGAAAAATAAGCACTCGAGGCCAAGCAGACCTTCAGTGAAGAAATGGAGGGAAACACCATCTGGGATAGCAAAGATCAATGTTGACGCCGCTGTTTCAAGAAGTAATACAAGAGGATCTAGTGCAGCAATCTGCCGCACTGATCATGATGAGGGGAAGTACTTGGGAGCTTGTGTTACTATCTTTGAACGTCTTACCGACCCTGAGAGCTTGGAGGCCCTCTCCTTGGCGGAGGATCTCCATATTCAGAGTGTCTTGATCGCTACCGATTGTCTAGCCGCTGTTAATCACCTGTCAGGCCAATTCTTGGGAGTTTCAGCACCAATTATCAGACAGATACCACACTGACGAGGCAGCAGACAAATACCCAGCGCACTTGGCCACGACATTCTGATCCCAACTTCCACGAGGGAGGGAGAGAGTCCACCCAGGCGCAGGGAACATATGCTCAACTATCTACCTAGCCAAAATATCACCAGCACCAAAAAGGAGGGAATAGATACGAAAGCCGAGCAAGTTAGGTCGGCCTCCCGTTGTGTTCTTCGCCTGCGATCATCCGTCGGATTCGATTCCACAAGCGACGGCCTGCAATCATCCACCGATCGATACTTATAAAAGGAGCAGCAAAGACAACTTAAAAGGAGCAGCATAGATTACCCGATTTTTTCCAGAAAGGAATTTAACCTTTTCACTGTTACTTGCTCCCTGCTCATCCTATCAAAGATGGCGACAAGAACGAAAACTAATATAAGATCGTCTAGATCACTAGTTTACAGAGGGAATAGGAGCAAAGAGATATGTACAGATACATTCGTTCATTCAGCATCGTCCAGTCAAGGTACTCTCGCAGCCTTGGCTTTCAGCTTCAGGGAGTACACACTGACGCTACTAGGAGTAGTAGTTGTTATTACACATCCACACGCCACAAAATACCTAAGCACCAAGGGTTAAACCCAAAATTAGCAAGTACATTTACCATAAATTATCTCCCCGCTTAATTCCCGAGACACCGTGATCTTGAACGCTGGCACGCCGGTCAGAAGGAGAGGATAAGGTCATCGTCGGGCCGGGCCGCGTTGTCGGCTGTGGCGGCGGCGGCGGCGGCGGCGGCGGCGAGGGCGGGCTGCGAGAGCATGTGCACCACCTCGCGCATGTTGGGCCGGTCGGTGCTCGCCTCCTCGACGCACGCCGTGGCCACGTCGTAGAGCCCCACCAGCAGCGGCACAGGCTCGGGGGAGAGGCGGCGGTCGGCGATGGCAAGGACAGCCGCCGCGGTGTCGGGGAGCTCCGCGGTGGCCTTGCGGACCCAGTGCACGATGTCCACGCCGTCGCCGAACCCGCCCACGGGGCGCCGCCCCGTGATGAGCTCCAGCAGCACCACCCCGAAGCTGTACACGTCGCTCTTCTCGTCCACCCGCAGCGTGTACGCGTACTCTGCCACAACGAACAGAACCAATTAATTAACCAGAGACAGAATTATGTAACCCTACTAATCATGCTTAATCTGAGCAAGGGATCCAAGATAGAGCCCATCATTAACTGCAAAAGGAGATCCTCCAGCTCCAGGCACTGACAAATTAATTAGCCCCAAACCTGTGCTACAATCCAGGAAACAGGGGCAGGGCAAAGGAGACACTGACAACCACCGCCACTAATCACTGTCACTCACTGTTCCCAGTGGTACTACACCTTTGTCATCTCTCAAGTTGACCATTGCACATGGCAACAAGAACACGGCCGGTGTGGGGCTGCAGACAAGTGCTGCCTCAAACTAGGCTAAAATCCAAGCCAACAACAGCCAAGTACATGCTGCAGTTCTTCAGTCAGGACCAGTGAACCGTGTGTGCGAGTTCATGTGGTGGCCGGCCTTGATTCAGATAGAATGTGTTGGATGAAATGAAATTTGTACGGTTGACATGAAAAGATTTTGATACCTGGGGCGATGTAGCCGTAGGAGCCGGCGATGGCGGACATGCACTCGGAGGCGCCTCCGCCACCGCCGCCGAGGAACTTGGCGAGGCCGAAGTCGGCGACGTGGGCCTCGAACGCCGAGTCGAGCAGGATGTTGTTGGACTTGACGTCGCGGTGGATGATGCGCGGCGCGCAGTCGTGGTGGAGGTAGCAGAGGCCGCGCGCGGCCTCGAGCGCCACCCGCGCGCGGGCGTCCCAGCCGAGGTGGCCGCCCTTGCCGCCGTGGAGCATCTCCCCCAGCGAGCCGTTGGGCATGTACTCGTACAGCAGCAGGTTGGTCTCGCGGTTGGACACGAAGCCCAGCAGGCGCACGATGTTGCGGTGCCGGATCCGCCCCAGCGTGCCCACCTCCGCCGAGAACCCGCGGTCGCCGCCCACGCCGCGCCCCACCAGCCGCTTGATCGCCAGCTCCGCGCCGCCGCGGGTCACGCCGTGGTACACGATCCCGGCGCCGCCCTTGCCGATGATGTTGTCCTCCTGCAGGCACTCCACCACGTCGTCCGCCGAGAACCCCGGCCGCTGCTGGAACACCGTCATCTTCCACGCCCCCGAGCGCCTGCGCGCCGCCTCCCGCCACGCCTCGCACCCCTTCCGCCCGCCCAGGAACGCGGCGACCAGCGCCACGAACACGCCCGCCAGGCACACCAGCATCTTCTTCGAGTCCCAGCGGCGGAGCGACAGCACGCCGCCGCCGCCGTCGTGGTTGTTGTCGGAGCAGGCGGCGCCGTCGTTGCTGCTGCCGGTCAGCGGGCCGCCGCACAGCCCGGGGTTGCCCACGAAGGAGCTCTCGTTGAACACCAGGAACTGGCCCTGCATCGGCACGGCGCCCGTCAGCGCGTTGTACGACACGTCGAGCGTGGTGAGGCTCGTCATGTTGGACATCTCCGTGGGGAGCTCGCCGGACAGCGCGTTCCTCGACACGTTCAGCGTGCACAGGATCTTCAGCGACGTGATGCTCTCCGGTATCGCGCCGGTCAGGCGGTTGCGGCTGACGTCGACTGCGGCGAGCGACGCGCAGCGCGTCAGCTCCTGCGGGATCGCGCCGGTGAGATGGTTCCCGCTGACGTTCAGCCGGGACAGGTTCCTGAGCCGGCCGATCTCCGGCGGCAGCTCGCCGGAGAAGTTGTTGGACTCGAGCGAGAGCGTCTGCAGCGCGGGGAGGTTGCCGATGGCCGCCGGAATCCTGCCGCCGATCCCGTTGTTCCCCAGCAGCAGCATGCCGATCTTGCCGCCGCCGATCACGTCGGGGAGACCGCCGGTGAGCAGGTTGTCAGTGAGCTCCAGCATGTTGGCCTGCGGCAGGTCGAAGAGCCCGGCCGGCACGGCGCCGCTGAGGAAGTTCTTGCTGAGCCGGACGCGCACCAGCGTCTTGCACGCGCCGAGCGACTCCGGGATGGGGCCGAAGAAGGCGTTGTCCATGAGCACGAGCGTCTCGAGCCTCCCGCCGGCGCAGAGCTCCGGCGGCACGGTGCCGGTGAGGTGGTTGGTGGTGACGTCGAGGTTCCTTAGCCGGCCGTTCCTCCCGAGCCCCGGCGGGAGGCTGCCGGTGAGGTTGTTCTCCCAGAGCTGCAGCACCTCCAGGTCCGGCAGCTCGGCGACGAACGCCGGTATCCCGCCGCGGAGGTGGTTCCGGAACAGGTTGAGCAGCCGGAGGTGGGTCAGCTTGGCGAGGCTCGCCGGTATCTCGCCGGCGAGGTCGTTGACGGACAGGTCGAGCGACTGGAGGCTCTGGAGCTCGCCGAGCTCCGTCGGAATCTCGCCGGAGAGCCGGTTCCAGAGGAGGAAGAGCGTGTCGAGGTTCTTGAGCTTGCCGAGCTCGGGCGGGATGGGTCCGGTGAGGTTGCAGCTGCTCATGTCGAGCAGCACGAGGCTGCGCAGCCCGCCGAACTCGGGCGGCACGCCGCCGTCGTACTGGTTGAAGTACCCCACGTAGAGGCTCCTGAGCTGTGCAAGCTGCGCAAGCTCCGGCGGGATCCTGCCGGAGAGCGCGTTGCCGTTGAGGCCGAGGTACTCAAGGGAGGCGACGTCGCCGTAGGCCACCGGGATGGGCCCGGAGAAGTAGTTCCCGCCGAGGTGCAGGTAGCGCAGCGCGGCCGCGTGCGCGGCGCCGAAGGGCGGGAGCGGGCCGGAGAGGTTGTTGTTGTAGCAGTCGAGGAGCTGGAGGGACGGGAAGTAGGGGGAGGATGGTGCAACGCCGTCGCCGGCGGGGAAGGGGCCGGAGAGGTTGTTGTTGGAGAGGTTGAGGTGGCGGAGGGCGGGCAGGGACGGGAGGCCCGCGGGGATGCGGCCGGG